CCAGTACCATATTGTCTTGATTACTGTAGCTTTTTAGTATAGTCTGAAGTCAGGGAGTCTGATTCCTCCAGCACCGTTTTTTTCCCTCAAGACTGCTTTGGCTATTCGGGGTCTTTTGTGTCTCCATACAAATTTTAAGATTTTTTGTTCTAGCTCCGTAAAAAATGCCATTGGTAATTTGATAGGGATTGCGTTGAATCTGTAGGTTGCTTTGGGTAGTATAGTCATTTTCACAATATTGATTCTTGCAATCCAAGAACATGCTATATCTCCCCGTCTCTTGGTATCAACTTTAATTTCTTTCATCAGTGTCTTATAGTTCTATGCATACAGGTCTTTTGTCTCCCTAGGTAGGTTTATTCCTAGGTATTTTATTCTTTTTGTTGCAATAGTAAATGGGAGTGTTTCCTTAATTTCTCTTTCAGATTTTTCATCATTGGTGTATAGGAATGCAAGAGATTTCTGTGCATGAATTTTGTATCCTGCAACTTTACCAAATGCATTGATTAGCTCTAGTAGTTTTCTGGTGGCATCTTTAGGGTTCTCTGTATAGTATCACGTCATCTGCAAACAGTGACAGTTTTAGTTCTTCTTTTCCAATTTGTATTCCTTTTATTTCTTTTTCTTCTCTGCAGAGGCTAGATCTTCCAAAACTGTGTTGAATAATAGTGGTGAGAGTGGACATCCTTGTCTCGTTCCTGATCTTAGAGGAAATGCTTTCAGTTTTTCACCATTGAGAATGATGTTTGCTATGGGTTTGTCGTATATGGCCTTTATTATGTTGAGATAGGTTCCCTCTATGCCCACTTTCTGGAGAGATTTTATCATAAATGGGTGTTGAAAGAAAGGTTTTTCTGCATCTATTGAGATGATATGGGTTTCATTCTTCAATTTGTTAATATGGTGTATCACATTGTTGATTTGCGTATACTGAAGAATCCTTGCATCCCTGGGATAAATCCCACTTGATCATGGTGTATGATCCTTTTAATGTGGTGTTGGATTCTCTTTGCTAGTATTTTGTTGAGGATTTTTACATCTATTCATCAGTGATATTGGTCTGTAATTTTCTTCTTTTATAGTATCTTTGTCTGGTTTTGGTATCAGGGTGATGGTGGCCTCATAGAATGAGTTTGGGAGTGTTCCTTCCTCTGCAATTTTTTGGAAGAGTTTGAGAAGGATGGGTGTTAGGTCTTCTCTAAATGTTTGATAGAATTCACCTGTGAAGCCATCTGGTCCTGGGCTTTTGTTTGTTGGAGGATTTTGAATCACAGTTTCAATTTCATTACTTGTGATTGGTCTGTTCATATTTTCTATTTCTTCCTGGTTCATTCTTGGAAGGTTATACCTTTCTAAGCATTTGTCTGTTTCTTCCAGGTTGTCCATTTTATTGGCATAGAGTTGCTTGCACTAGTCTCTTAGGATGCTTTGTATTTCTGTGGTGTCTGTTGTCACTTCTCCTTTTTCATTTCTAATTTTATTGATTTGAGTCATCTCCCTCTTTTTCTTGATGAGTCTGGCTAATGGTTTATCAATTTTGTGTATCTTCTCAAAGAACCAGCTTTTAGTTTTATTGTTCTTTGCTATTGTTTTCTTTGTTTCTATTTCATTTATTTCTGCTCTGATCTTCATGATGTCTTTCCTTCTTCTAACTTTGGCTTTTGTTTATTCTTCTTTTTCTAATTCCTTTAGGTGTAAGGTTAGATTATTTATTTGAGATTTTTCTTATTTCTTGAGGTAGGCTTGTATAGCTATAAACTTCCCACTTAGAACTGCTTTTGCTGCATCCCATAGGTTTTGGATGGTTGTGTTTTCATTGCAGTTTGTCTCTAGGTATTTTTTGATTTCCTCTTTGATTTTTTCAGTGATCTCTTGGTTATTTAGTAATGTGTTGTTTAGTCTCCATGTGTTTATGTTTTTTATGGTTTTTTCCGTGTCATTCATTTCTAATCTCTTAGCTGTGTCATGTGGGATCTAGTTCCCTGACCCCAGATTGAACCTGGGACCCTTGCATTGGGAGTGCAGAGTCTTAGCCACTGGACCACCAGGGAAGTCCCCTCCTAGGCACTGAATTCAGTGTTGACAGTTTTTTCCCTTCAGCACACGGATGTTATTCTGTTGTCTGATGGTTTCCATAATTTCTTTTGAGAAGTTAGCAGTTATTCTTATTGTTCCTTTGAAAGTAATGTGTATGTGTCTTTTTAAAATTTTTCTTCCTAACTGCTTTTAATATTGCCTCCTTTAGTTTTCAGTAGTTTGAGTCTAATTTGCCCAGATGTAGTTTTTTGTTTGTTTTTTTTGTGGTGGACCATTTTTCAAGTCTTTATTGAATTTGTTACAGTACTGCTTCTTTTTTTTTTATGTTTTGGTTTCTTGGCTATGAGGCATGTGGGATCTTAGCTCCCTGACCAGGGTTTGAACCCGCACCCCCTACATTGGAAGGCGAAGTCCTAACCACTGGACCGCCAGGGAAATCCCCCAGGTGTAGTTTTGTTTGTATTTATACTGCTTGGAGTTGCCTCAGTTTTTTAATCTGACTTGAGTCCCTCATGTAATTTGGTAAATTTTGGTTATTTCTTTCTGTATTCCTTCTGTCCCATTCTCTCTTACCTTGTCCTTGAACTTTTTAACCATCATGACATTTCTTACTATCTGTTTTCCCCTCCTCTGTGATTATTTGAATATTTTCTATTGACCTGTCTTTGAAGTTCACCAGTCCTACATTCTGCTGAGTCGAGTTTCTTGTTATTCAATAAGGTCTCAATTTCAGACATTGTAGTTGGCAGTTCATTAGTGTCTATTTGATTCTTTTTAAAAATTGATTTCAATTCCCTTTTCAAATACTCCTGTTTTTTCTATCCTTTTTCCACATCTTCTATTTTATTTATTTATTTGTTTGTTCATTTGTTTATATTTTTGGCCATACCATGCGGCTTGTGGGATCTTAGTTCCCTGACCAGGGAATGGACCCAGCCCTGGCAGTTAAAGCACCAAGTCTTAACCACTGGACCACCAGGGAATTCCCTCCATCTTCTATTTTACCATAGTAGCCATAGTTATTAAGACTTTGTCTGCTAACTCAGTTATCTGGATCATGTATCTGTTATCTGGATGTCTTTCTATGGACAGTTTAATCTCTTGATCATTAGTTGCTATAAAAAATTTTCTTTGCATGTCTAATAATGTTTGATGGTTTGCTAGGTATTGTAGATAATATTCATAGAGGCTCACACTTCTGTTATTTTCCTCCAGAGTATAGAGTCTGGTTCTTGGGGGCAGTTAATTTATTTATCAGTAGATTACCTTGATCCTGTCATGGATTAGTTTTAGGATTTGTTAGGCATATGTATTTCACTTGATACCTAGGACATGGCCTTGCTAGGATTTCATCTGAAAGTTGAGGATTTTCAACCATCCACTCTGGCTGGGTCTGAGTTAGTCTTCCTGATGCTGTTCAGGCGCTGAAGTCTTGGCTCAGCTGTTCCCTGCTAGACTACCCGGAGTTGCATTCCGAACATCTCAGTTTAGGAGTCACAGCCAAGGACTTCAGGGATTTTTACATAGATTTTTGAGGCTCACTCCTCTGCAGCTCACTTTTCTCTGGTACCCTGTCCCCCAAACCCCCTGCCTTATCAGTCCCTAACTGTTGGCTATTTTCTCTGTTCACTCAGACTACCTCTGTCTGGAGACCATCATTAATTTTAAGCTAGTAGAGTAAGGAATGGCATTTGCTAATGATCATCTATTTGAAGATGTAAATTGATTGTGATGAGGAAATCCTGGTAAAAATGATTGGCGCTCTGGTGCTATTAAGGCATTGGCTACTCTGTGTAAATTTTATGGCCTTAACTACTCTGTGTAAACATTTAAACTTATTCAGTTAAGTAATCAAGCCAGTAAGTTCTTATTGGTGTAGCGTTGTGATCATTGGCATTACAGTTGTGAGCAAAATCAAGATAAAGCCCTTGCTATGAGTGACTTCATAGGCTAGTAAAAAGTACTTACTGGAGATGTCTTGTTGATAAGAAAAATGTATTTTATTTTGTAAAATGTGTATCACCTGTCCCTGAAGTCTTTTTTTTAGATCATACATCTCTGATTTACAGAATGTTGTTAATGTGAACATATATCTGTATTGGTTTGCTAGTTGGATTTAAATCTGATATCCAAACCCTTGTTGCAGTGCCCTCCTTTTTTGTATCAGCTTTTGTTTCAGCTTCTGGTCCCTTTTCTTAGCTATCTGTTGATACCAATTTACAGTAGGGTGAAGAGTTACATGGATTAATGTGGAGAACACTTATTATTCCCAGCCTCCCTTTTTCCCTGACATTTTTAGATGACAATTATGTCTAGCCTAGAAGAATTTAAGTTCAAGCCAATGTCCAGCTTTTTTGCTTGGGGCCAATTGAAAATGACAGAAGTTGCTGAACTTTGTCACCATATATAATAACAGTGTAACATGAAAGCAAGGACCTGTGTAGTATTGCCTTGATCACTTTATAAAGATTTTTGTGTTTGTGTCATTGTGATATAGTTAATATACTCTCCAAACTTTAGTTGTATCTCCCCCACTCCCACTGTGCACCGTGTTTAGTATGTTAAGAAAGGTACTTGATTTTCCCAACTTTTTTCCATGGTCTCTAGCAATCTTATATTAAAATGTGTAAGTGGAAGGTAACAATATACAAAATTATTATTATTATGTTTTTAAATTTGAGAAACCTTTTGCTCATAATGAAGAGATGCTAGAATGAAGAGTCTGGTGCTTAGAGTTTGATCTGTGGTCTATTTTATCCAGCGCTTCTGCTGTTAATTCATTCTCCTTAAAAAAATATGGACAATATTGGTTCAAATTTATTTAGAGTATTGCTGTCGTAGGAATTAATTTTTCACAGCATTGTGAATTAACTATATTTCAATAAAAATTTAAAAATAAAGAAATTTCTTAATGTTATTTCTTCATGTTAAGAAGTTCATAATGTTTAATTATTTTCCACTAGGAAACCACCCCTACTCCTAATCCCCCACCTACAGAAGAAGAGAAAACAGAATCTAATCAGGAGGTTGCTAACCCAGAGCACTATATTAAACATCCTTTACAGAACAGGTAAGCTTTCTGACACATAGGTGTTCTGACTTAGGCCGCAAGGTAAATGGTGAATGGGACAGGTTTGGAGGGAAAAGTTAGATGAGACTAGTTTTAGATAGGTGAAGGATTCCATTTTCATTTGGATGACCCATGTCTAGCAAGCAGTTTTATGTGTGAATCTTGAACTCAGATAGTAGAACTTTGAAAGAGTGGTTTGAAATTCATTGGTAATTGATGGTAATTGAAACCACAGTAGTAAATGAGTTCTCACAACAGAGGCTTGGAATATTAGCACATAGGTGATTTTTCTTTTTTCTTTTTTTTGCGTACGCGGGCCTCTCACTGCTGTAGCGTCTCCTGCTGCGGGGCGCAGGCTCCGGACGCGCAGGCTCAGCGGCCATGGCTCGCGGGCCCAGCCGCTCCATGGCATGTGGGATCTTCCCAGACCGGGGTACGAACCCACGTCCCCTGCATCAGCAGGCGGACTCTCAACCACTGCGCCACCAGGGAAGCCCATAGGTGATATTTTTGAGTAAGAATGCCTATGAAGAGAACAGTCTTGTGGTTGCCAAGTGGGAGGGGTGTGGGGGAGGGGTGGGCTGGGAGTTTGGGATTAGCAGATGCAAACTGGTGCATCTAGAATGGATAAACAGCAAGGTCCTACTGTATAGCACAGGGAACTATGTTCAATATCCTGTGATAAACCATAATGGAAAAGAATATGAAAAAGAATATATGTATATGTATAACTGAGTCACTTTGCTGTATAGCTGACATTAACATAACATTGTAAATTAACTGTACTTCAGTAAAAGTTTTAAAAAAAGAATGCCTTTGAAGGGTATAGACATATAAACTGTATAAACTAGGAAAGAGTGCTTGGTCATGGAAACCAAGCAGATGGTTTATTTTAAAGACAAGATAAGCATATTTGCCACAGAAAGGCCAAATGTTCATTGGATTGAACAATAAGTCCTTGCTAACATTGGAGAAAGTTTAGTAGAGCAGGTGATGGAAGAAGATTGGCATAGTTTGAAGAGTGAATAGAAAGTATACAAATGTATAGAGCAGGAATAGGCAATTTGAAGTTGGTCTGTGAAGGAGAAAAGAGAGCTAGGGGATGTGGAGGCTGGAGATTGGTTGGTTGTATTTAAGAGAAGTTAGGTGAGGAAAAGAGGAGTGTTTAGGATGAGTTAAGTTTTCATAGTTACTGTGTAGTAGTTTAATAGTTCAGTATATGGTTTTTCCTATCTCTACCCTACCACTTCCCAGTATGTTTGTGTTTTTTACTTGATTGTCTTTCTGGCTTACATGATGAAAATTAACACATTCCCTGAGAGCTGATGGTGGGAAGAAAATGGCAACTCAGAAACATTGTAAGAATCTGGAGGAAAGTAAATTGGAATTAACTTTTGAGGATCTTTAATTCCTTTCATTAAAGGAATTAACTTCTGAGGATCTTCAGTTCCTTTCATTCTCCCCACTCCCAGGCCTTTTACTCTCTTTACCTTAAAGATCCCATGAGACTGTCTATAATTTAGTTTCATTTATCTGAAAAATGTGTTGTCCCTTTATGTCCCTTTATTTTTTATCATTTCTTCGTTATCATGGTAGACCTATTGAAATAATAGTCCAAACACATTCAGTAGTTTTTTCATAGGAGACCTGTGGTTCAGCAGTTCTCTAGACAATGGGAATTGTCAGCCCATGAGTGACATGTCAAAGGTCAAATAGTCCATAAAGGGTAAAAATTCTTCCTCAGGAAAGCATTGTGCCAAAGGTAATAGTTGAACAGTTGATTAGTGGCAATTTCGTTTAGCTAACCTAGCAGCAGTACCCAAACTTTTAAAGTATGTTTTTTCATCTTTTCAGTGGTATATAAAAAGCTAGCTCTGTCTTCTGACTGTGAACACAGTTCTTAGTGTTGCTGTTTTGTGGGGAGAAGTAATCAAGGCATGTATCCCTCATAGCTTAAGTGAAATCTGAGAAGAGATTCCTGTCCTATCAGTGAACAAACTAATTAAATCCTAAAATGAAGTTTGTGAGGATTTCAATTTCTCTTATCAATTCTATTTCTTGTGTAAAATAGTATCATATGGAAAACTATTTTAAGACATTTTTGGTTCCAATTTTGGTAGTTTCTTCATTATTTACTTCTTGTAAATATTGCAGAATTATGTTTTCTTTTAAAAAAACCCACTATATTATTATAAGAAAGATTAAATTATTGGGGTACAAAGTATAAAGTAAAAGTTCTCCGCTTTTTTCTGATACCTTCTTCCCCATTTTGCTTTTCTCCATTCCCCAGAATAGTCAGTGTTAAAAATTTGGTTTGTATTTTTCCAAAACCTTTCAATATGCATATATATACATTTTTTATATATATGGCCATACTGTTGAGTTTTTTTGTTCGTATATGCAGGTTTTGACTCATTATTTTAAACCACTGCCTTGTATTAAATGAATATATAGTCACGTATTTTATCAGGCTTACATTAATGTGTATATAGAATTTTTTTCTGTTTACAAACAGTGCTATAAAGTATACGTCCTTATATATTTTTTTGCAGTTGTGTGAATATATCTAGGGTAAAATTTCAGAGTTCTTAGGTTAAAGACTACCTTTTAACTACCTTTGTAGAGATTGCCAAATTATCCTCCTTTATCAGCTTATTAGACTCTTAACAGTTTAAGAGTTACTGGTTTCTACATCCTTGGCAACACTATCAATCTTAAATTTAATTGCCTGTCAGATTGGTTCTAGTTTGATTTGTGAAAACAGTGTCTTATTGTTTTAAATTTGCATTTCTTTTATCGAAATTTCAAAACATTTCTGTTGAAAACAATCGCTTATTTGTGTTTTTACCTGTGAGCAGTCTGTTCAGTTCTTTTGTCTATTATTTTCTTTTGGGTTATCTTCCCAAGTTTATTTCCAAGCATTGTGTATTAGGGATGTTCACCCATTCAAGGGCGGGATTAGGTTGAAAATGCATTTCCAAATCATTTGTCTTTCAACATTGTCTAAGGAGTTACGTTATTTTAGAGGTTTTTGATTTTCATGTAATCAAATACGAGCTTTCTTCCATGGTTTCTGGGTTTCATGTCAGTCTTAGGAGAATTTTACTCACACAATTATCCTATTTAATAGCTGCCTAGCAGTCTCTTGCATGTATTATATTATTTATATTTTATTTAAATCTTAACTTCTTTGGGCTCATGACCCCTTTACATTCTTAAAAATTATTGAGGATTCCACAGTGCTTTGGTTATGTAGATTTTTATCTATTTTCATTTGCTATATTAGAAAATAAATGTTTTAAAATGTAAAATTGTATATGTACTTAACCCATTGCATGTTAATGTAAATAATTTTTATGAAAAAATTTATTCAAAATAAAAAATACGTAGTGGAAGAATACATAAAAAATACATAGTGGGAAGTATTTTTGTAAATCTTTTTAAGTGCCTGACTTAATAGAAGTCAGCTGGATTTTCATAGTTGCTTCTGCATTGTCTTTGGAGATAAGTTGTTTCAGAGAAAGTATGAGAATAAAATACGGCCTCAGACAGGTACATGGTTGGAAAAGGGAGGAGAAATTTTAATAGCCTTTTAAAATAATTATGACTGTCTCCTTCCTTTGATGCTAGGTTTCTTATATGTTAGTTGCATTGTAGAATCTGAAACCATATCCAAGAACTTTTTCTACTCTGTTACATTAAAATCCATTGATCTATCTTGCATTTGGAATGTATCCTTCACCCATGCACGCCTCTGGTCATTTGGATAATATTGGTTCAGTGAGTTTGCAGATCTTCCAAATATTGGCACTTTTCATTATATGATATCAAAACAATAACTAATTATTATCACTACCTAAACTCATCAGAAATATCGTTAAGTGTCATTAAGTTGTTAAGTGCACAGTGACACATGCTTTCCAAAATTCTGATTTTCTCCTGAAAGCTCAAATTTTAGCAGCTGGCTCAGTCTGTTCATTTTTCAAGAAATAATCATGGTTGATCAGCCAATCTTCTTCCAAGTAAAAGTGGTGTTCTTTGAAAAAAGTAACTAGTTCACCTCACAGCTCAATTGCCTAAGCATTGTATTGATATTTGGTATGCAGAAATATTTTTTGTGCAGAAAAAGACATGTACACAGATTGAAATTTAATGAAACCAGTAGTTTTTACTGCTGGTTTCCATTCAGTGGCATTCTTAACTGAAACTGACATTATTACTGTGAGAGTTGGTGATAATAAAGGAAACAGTGACTACTAGTACAAATTGGTGCCACTGTATAATTCTTGCTGTGTACGGCACCAGTAGGTTTACCAACCGTTGCTTTTGCATCATCAGTGCAAATATCAACACAGTGAAATATAAAATGTCTTAGCATTTTTATGAAATAGTTTTTACTCATCAGCACTCCTTGAAAGGGCCTTAGGATCCCCTAGGGGCCTGTAAACCACATTCTGAGAACTGTTGGTAGGCACTTAAGATGTTTCCAAAATTTTCCAAAATTAAGAACTTTCCTGTACAAACATTTTTGCTTAGTTATCCAATTATTTTCTTAGGATATATCTTTATATGTTTAATGGCTGAATGCAATTTTTTTTAAAAGATGGAATTAAATTTTATTATTTTTAATTGAGGTGTAACAGTTTCAGATGTACAACATGATTCAATATTTGTATGTATTGTGAAATGATTACAGTAAGTCAACATCTGTCACAATACATATTTATAAATTTTTTTTCTTGTGTTGAGAACTTTTAAGATTTAGTCCCTTAGCAACTTTCAGATTTGCAATGCAGTATTATCACCATGTTGTACTTTACATCCCCATGACTTATTTATTTTACAACTGGAAGTGTGTATCATTTGACCCCCTTCATGCATTCCCCCACCCTTGTGCCTCTGGGAACCACCAATCTGTTCTCTGTATCAGTGAGCTTGGGGTGGTTTTTTTGGGGTTAGTTTGTTTTTTAAAAGTTTTTTTGAAGATTGCACATATCAGCGAGATCATACAGTATTTGTTTTTCCTGTCTAGTGTCTGATTTATTTAACTTAGCACAAAGTCCTCAGGGTCCATCCATGTTGCAAACAGCAAGATTTCCTTCATTTTTATGATGGAATAATCCATTGAAAATGTATATATATATACACCATATTTTCCTTATTCATGCCTTGATGGACACTTAAGTTGCTTCCGTGTCTTTGCTTATCATGGGGTGGGGGTTGCACATATCTTTTTCAAGTTAGTGTTTTCATTTTCTTCTGATAAATGCCCAGAAGTGGAATTGCTGGATCCAGTGGTAGTTCTATTTTTAAATTTTTGCGGAAAGACAATTAATTTTAGAAATCCAGAGTATAATACTTGACACTGTGTGTGTATGTTTAATAGTTTTTCTGCCTTTGCTTTTTTAAAAAAATTTTTTTCCTTGAGAGTGGGTTGGCAAATACACATTATCAAGTAGGTGCTGAAATGCATCTCATTTTTATGTCTGAGATTATCAAGCATTAACCATAAAGTTATGAAATATATGTCCACTTGGAAACCTGTCTTCAGACAACATTTTTATCAATGAGTAAGTGAAATTTCCTTAGAGGTGGTATAGTAATTCAGAAAATACAATTTTACTAAAGATGAATCATATTGGGATGATAATATTTAAGCATGACTTTTATGTGACATGAGTTTGTCTTCAAAGTATTAGAATAAAACTTTTTTAGACAAAGTATATACAGATATATAGAAACTACTATGCATAATTTCAGAATATATCTGTGGTAGCATTACTCAATGAAACCCTGTATTATATTCCTGTTTGTATGAGTCCCGCCCCCATTACTAGTGCTCTCATTTCTCTCCTCTTGTTTCTCTGTAAATTCAGCTTCCCTCTTCCCCACTTAACCTTTCCAGTTAAGTGCTCCTGGTCTGTTTTGCTTTTCTTAAATAACTGTGCTTAATTATCTCTATCATAGCACTTAGGACATTGTAATTGTCTCTGTACAACATTTCTGTGAATTCCCTGTGGGATGAGCCTCATTGGATCTCTAAGTATAGCAGAGAATCTGTTACATAGTAGGTACAAAACACATACTTTTCATTTTATTTATCTATTTATTCTTTAGCCACACCACATGGCTTGCAGGATCTCAGTTCCCAAAAGCCCCAAATCCTAACCACTAGGCCACCAGGGAACTCCCAAAATATATACTTTTTAAATGAAAGAAATAGAGAAAACTACTCATTTGCTATTATAAATAAAATTTTTATTTATTTTTAATTGTGGTAAAACACATATATAAAATTTACTATCTTAACCATTTTTAAATGTACAGTTCAATAGTGTTAAATACCCCCCCATTGTTGTGCAGCCAGTCTCCCGGAACACTCTTTATCTTGCAGAAAAACTTAAACTCTCTACCCATTAAACAACAACTCTCCATTCCCCTTCCCTTTTAGCCTCTGGCAACCACCACCCACTCTCCATTCCCCTTCCCTTTTAGCCCCTGGCAACCACCATTCTACTTTATTACTCTAGGTGCCTCATACAAGTGGATCATACAGTATTTGTCTTCTTTGATGGACTCTTTTCACTTTCCTTCCTTTTTAAGGCTGTTTAATATTCCACACTACATTTTGTTCATTCATCTGACAATAGACACTTCCCCCTTTTGGCTGTTGTGAATAATGCTGCTTTGAACATGGATGTAAAGCTACGTCTTTTTTTTTTTTTTTGACACTGACTTTCTGTTTTTAGATGGGCACTCTGGTTTTTTAAAAATGATAAAAGCAAAACTTGGCAAGCAAACCTTCGGCTGATCTCTAAGTTTGATACTGTTGAAGACTTTTGGGCGTAAGTAACCATTCATTTTAGGATGTCTGTTGTGTAATTTTTCATTTTAAGTTGCATTCACAAAATGAAGGGTAAGGTGTGAACAGTTAATATTCACCTTTTTGTATGTCCATCTTCTCACAACTGTTTGAATTGGTGATTATTCCTCATCAGTTTTAGAAAGCTTCCGTCTTGTCGTCTTTTAGCTCTGCCTATTCTCTATTCTTTGTCCTGAGATCTCTTTCGTTGAGAATCCTTTATTGTTCCTAGAATTTCCAACAACTTTTAGGAGCTTGTCCCCTTTCTTGGTTGCCTAGATACATTTTCCCTATTCTTAGGTATTCCAGAGCTTTCTTAGGCCGTTATTTCTGCAGATTCTTTCCAGTATAATATCTGGATTTCCTGTGATAGAGATTCCAAGATTTCAAAGGCTGAACTGCTCATAATTCAGGGTTTGTCAAAGAATGACGATATCTCTGATGATAGTTTATTAATTTCATTATACTTCGTGAACAACATCAAGAAGAACAGTTGAAATATTTTTGAGATTTTGTTTCAATTTAGCAAATAGTTAAGATTTCGGGGTCTTAAATCTTTGCATGGCTTCAAAATATAATTTAAAATGACAAAGTTCTTTTCAGGAAGGTTTGGAATATTGATTCTTTAAAAACAAAGTTGATTTAGTATGTCTGTTTGCTTGAAAAATGTATGGGGAGAAATTACTTGAGAACATGAAAGATACAACTTTTTGAAAACACTTTTAAGAGCTGTAAATTACCTAGCAGTTATCTTAAGTATTCTAATTTGTTCAGCTGGTGTATTTTGGATCATATCAGTGATGTGATTCTTATGTTTAATGTTAACTCCCTGAGTGTAACATACAGACTAACAGATTGTGATTAGAAAATTTATGCATGTAATGTATACTTCCTCCAGGGCAGAAACAATTTTCTGTATATTTCTAGTGCTTTGCTCATATTAGGCATTTAGTATGCATTTGAATCACTGAAAGCAAAGCATAGAATAATTAGAGAAAACTGTATATTGAGACCACTTTGAGTGGTCACTTTTAATTGAAAACATTTTTTAAGAAATTTTTAAAAATTTAATTTAGATATTTCACTAGCCTGAAGGCAGAAGCCTAGATCATTTGATCTCCTGAAGTCTATCACAGCAAAATTGTTATAAAACGGGCAACAGAGTAAGAATGCTTTGCCTGTCTCCAATATTTTATACAGAAGTGATGATCTTAGCTATATGACTAGTGACCATGGATGGTGTTATTATCCTTAGTTAGATATTACTATTTGGGAAGTAGTTTAAAAATACAGATTCTATGGTTCCATCCTATACTTAAGGGATTAAAATCTCAAGAAGTAGGGTAAGGAACTGTTTTTTTATTTTTATTTTTGGTTGCTATTTTAATAAATTTATTTTTGGCTGCGTTGGGTCTTGCTGTGCGTGGGCTTTCTCTAATTGCGGTGAGCGGGGCCTACTCTTAGTTGCGGTACATGGGCTTCTCATTGCAGAGGCTTCTCTTGTTGTGGAGCACGGGCTCTAGACAGGCGGGCTTCAGTAATTGTGGCACACGGGCTCAGTAGTTGTGGCGCACGGGCTTAATTGCTCCATGACATGTGGGATCTTGCCAGACCAGGGCTCGAACCTGTGTCCCCTGCATTGGCAGGCGGATTCTTAACCACTGCGCCACCAGGGAAGTCCTGTTTTGTTTTTAAAAGCTCCCCCAAAGATTATTATGCTGACTTAAACTAGTAATGGTGTGTGGTGTTTGGGAACCAGTGATCTGTCCCGCTCTTGGATACTTTCAAGGATAATAATGTTGACTTATTTTAGTCATGCAATCCTGATGGTCAGGGAGTTTGTCTTGCTTTCTCTTGATTTGTCTTTTTGTGTGTTTAAAACTGCTCATTAGCCTCACAGATTCTTTCATCTATTTAAAGCCACCTCATACCTCTCCTTTCAGTTTCTTGTATATACATATATGTATGTATTAAGTTAACTAATACATCAAACTTGTCAGAATAAAATTATTAAAAATATTTTCTTGAAAATCATCAGATGTTGATTCTTGAAGCTGACTGTTACTGAGATCTTTTTGGTCCATTTCAGAAATTGACTTCATGGGGGCGGGAAGTAAACATGAGTTTTTATCTTATTTTTATCATATTCTCTGAATGTATATGTACGCACCTAAACTTTGCATTACATATGCTATGTTTATAATTGTTCTTTTCTTTTATCTAGTCTGTACAACCATATCCAGTTGTCTAGTAATTTAATGCCTGGCTGTGACTACTCACTTTTTAAGGTATGTTTAATTGGTGACTTCATATATTTATTATAAGTCTGGACCATTCAGGTATTCATTAAAAAATCTTGCCATAAACTTAGGAATAGTTAATGTTGTGGTGCTTGGAGAATAATTAAATTAGCTTTACCAGGTTTTAGCATAAATATATTTTGCCCTATTTTACTATAAACATTGGGTTGGCCAAAAAGTACCTTTTTGGTAGAAATAAAAGACACATTTTTTTAAGTAAAAATAAAATACACATTTAATTTAGTTAAACCATGTTTTAAAGTAATAGAACTACATTTGAAGCCCCATAATTCATAGGTCTAGTTGTCTAGTTAAATTAGCATTGTTCTGTTTTGCCCTTCCTCAAAACGTCTAGTGTTTTTCTTCTCTAATTGTTTTTGTTTTTCTTCTCTAATTGTATTTATTCAAGGCATGTTTTTCATTTTCTCCAAGAACTTTATTGAACAACGCATTCAGCCTTTGGTGTGGTTGGTGGTGGTTCATTTAGCTTGCCCAGGATCTCTCCCGTTCTACATTATTGTACAGTATCCACTTTTCATCACCTGTCACAATTTGTTTTAAAAACGGAACGTTTTCATTACGTTTAAGTAGAGAATTGCATGCTTGAATACGTTCAAGAAGGTTTTTTTCACTTATGTGGAACCTAAACATCAAAGCGATTCACATAACCAAGCTGGTGCAAATGATTGTCAGCACTTAATTTTGAGTATGTTGGCTCTCTTCTGTGTGGTATTACGTTGATTGTTCTCAGTTAATGTCTCGATTTGATTGCTGTCGACTTCAACTGTTCTGCCTGACCGTGGAGCATCGTCCAGCGAGAAATCTCCAGCACAAAACTTTGCAAACCACTTTAGACACATTCAGTCAGTCACAGCACCTTCCCCATACACTGCACAATTCTTTTTTTTGCATTTCAGTTGCATTTTTACCTTTCTTGAAATAATAAAGCCGAAAATGTTTTTTTTTCTTCCATCTTCAATATTAAAATGGCTACATGAAAATTCACCAATTCTGATGTCTTTTTTTAAAATGCACGCTGATATGACAGCTGTCACATACAATCTAACGAAATTGTTTTGAATGAAGTTAAAGACAACTGAGTGCTACTAGATGCATCTTAGGGAAAAAACCAAGCGAACCTTTTGGCCAACCCAGTTATTGAAATTAAGTGAGAGTCAGACTATATGGGCACATACTGTGATTGATTTTGAGGAGAGCTTTGATAATCCAAATGGGTCATCCAATCCATTTCTTCTTTATATATTTGAGTAGACTGAAGTCCAGAGTTTGTCAGGAATTCTTAACCTGGAGTGTGTGGGTCCTTGAGATATTTATGAGTTTTGTCAGCTGGTAGTGGGTGGGACAGTCATTAGCTCTCTGAAATTGTGTAAGTTTTTAATATATTTTCTAGGTATAGAAATGTATATAGCTTCTCAAAGGTATCTGTTACTCAGAATGTTTTAGAGCCTCCAAATTAAGTGAAACCCAAGGTTTGATAGTTAATAAGTACCCAAGTCAGTACTCTAATTTTGCTTTAAGTCTTGTGTGCTTTTTTCCCCACTACATCAATTAGCAGTTTTTATGGGTATAAAGTAAATAGTTAATAGGGTTGTTGCTTGCTGTTTCTAGTGGTGATCTCGAGTTAAAGTAACAATATTGTCTCATATTGTTGTCTCCCTAACCTTGTAGGATGGTATTGAGCCTATGTGGGAAGATGAGAAAAACAAACGAGGAGGACGATGGCTCATTACATTGAACAAACAGCAGAGACGAAGTGACCTCGATCGCTTTTGGCTAGAGACAGTAAGGTTTTAAAATTATAAAGCTGTTTTGGAATACTAAAACTTCACTTATGTTACATTTTACATTGGTTACTTAATTCAAGATGAGATAAGGATTCCCACTCTAGCTAAGCCAGCACTTAATTTTGTTCTGTCCTGTGAATCTTGTATACTTCTTACATACTAATACAGTGAAACTCCCTACCACATATTACACATCCAGAAAGTGATCGGCAGTTGACTCACCTTCCAGAATAAGGGCATCCTGGTCATCTCATTAAGTTCAAAATTATGTAACCTCTCACATTTTGTATGATGTAAGTTTTTTTACAATCCTCTTAGAGTATTGCTCTGTATACTAAACTTTTTAGATCAGTGAAGGAAACAGTGAAATTGTAGTTTGATATCATTCAGCTTATATGTTGTGATGTAACTTGGAACTTTTGGCTTCATATGACATTTATTAAATATGAGATAATAGGCATTTTCTCTAGTGAAAGTTTTCAAACCCCAAGCTTTTAGGAGCAGGGATTATAGTCTCTTTTGTATCCCTGTCACTTGACAGTGTCTGGTTTATAGTTAGCCCTTACTAAGTTGAGCAATAATAAATATTTCAGTGAATGGCTTTTTAAAGAAGAAACTTAATTTTGCGGGAATTCCCTGGCAGTGCAGTGGTTAAGACTCCCAGCTCCCAATGCAGGGGGCCCAGATTCGATACCTGGTCAGGGAACTAGTTCCCACATGCATGCCGCAACTAAGAGTTCGCATGTCGCAGCTAAGGAGCTGGCAAGCTGCAACTAGGGAGCCCGAGAACTGCAACTAAGGAGCCCGCTGGCCGCAACTAAGACCCGGTGCAACCAAATAAATAAGTTAAAAAAAAAAAAAGAAACTTAATTTTGCTTTCGGGAGAGATTATCAGTAATTACCATTTTAGAATTCTGCATTAAAAAGTCATTTCAGTTTTGCAGGATGACAAAAGTTCTGGAGATTGTTGGTGGTACAGTGTGAATATACTTAATGCCACTGAACCATACACTTAAAAATGGTTAATATGGTAAATTTTATGTCATGTATTTACTACAATTTTTTTAAAAGTTAGAAAATGTTCGTGAAAAATAAGAACAAGAGGCAATTAAGCAGCTTTTTCAGTTATTCCATTAATATTTGCTGGCAAGTATAAGCAGCAGCAGAGCAAAGTGAATATTAATAAAATAATTCGCCTTTTATGTGCCCTGACATCAGTTGCCCAATTTGCTAAAAAAGTTAACAAAACTGATCATGTTCTTGGTATTAAAGAATCAAATTAACAAATTTTTTAAAGGCCAGGACAAAAAACTATATATAAATATAATTTAGGCATTCAGAAAGTCGACTCTTGATTTAAAAACTGTTTTTCAGTTTTGTATATATACAAATATTTGAGACATTTGCAGCTTAATAAGCTGTTTATCATCTGTTGAATGTAACTTGAGATTTGGGTTTTTTCTTTTAAGCTGCTGTGCCTTATTGGAGAGTCTTTTGATGACTACAGTGATGATGTATGTGGAGCTGTGGTTAATGTTAGAGCTAAAGGTGATAAAATAGCAATATGGACTACTGAATGTGAAAACAGAGAAGCAGTTACACATATAGGGTAAGTTTTGCTTTTTGTGTGCTTCTTTTAAAATAGATAACTAAAAGCAGAAGTACTTTTTAAATTAAAAGTATTTATGTAGATCATTATTTTCCTTGTTTTCATGAACACTTTTATAATCTTGAACTGCTGTGTATTGGTATTCAGTGTCTTATTCATATTTTTTTCACTTCTGTAAAATTTCTTTTTCCTAGCAGTGGGGTATATAATCACTATTTTAGCATGTAGCATTTTATTATTTAGCATATGAGAATATGTCTTTTTTACCCTACTTTAAAACCATAATGCTCAAGTATAATAATCAATAATTTGGTGAATATTGGCATTTGCCATTGAAGTGTAAGTGACAGTAGCTTGGTTTTGTCCATATTTAAAACCCACATGTATAAATTTTAAAACTTTTTTTTGGCAAATATTACTATTTGCAAAAGTTGCCTGTCGTCCCCGCTCCGCCCCCACCCCCGCAAATGTCAGTCAGTGTTAACTAGGATTTTCTCTTTACTATATTTAAATTAGTAAAATTGGACTTTAAATTTTGTGTTAAAATTAAGTACCAGTCATAAGTCACAATATGTTTAGTTTGCCTCTTTGCATGTTGATTTTTCAAACATTATGAATTCTCCTGTGAACATAATTCCTTTTTGGATTAAAAGGTGTGGGGATTTTCCAGGTTTCATTCTCCACTGGGTTTCTTATAAGAGAAGGTTGATTGTTGATTCGTCACCATATTCCTGATCTTTCTGTCAGCCTTAAAACTTACTGACAGTGGGGGTCTCCTATTTCTTTGAAAATGTGTTAAAGAAACTAAGTATGAACTTCTTTCCTCGGAAAGTTTTTTATTTGTGTCAATATTAAACATTTTTGAAATCTCTATAAAACTTTTGGCCTCACTTTTTCAAGGAAAAAATTTTTTTCACCCTTTTAAGTTGCATGGCTCAGTGCCCATTCTGGCATTTTTAGTGATTAAGTATAATTGAAGGTATTACATTATATCCTAATGTAAATCTGATAATAGTTATAATTTTAGTTATAAAATTATTTTTAAATACCCTATTTGAAGGAAGGTAGTAAAGTCTTCTGAAGGGTAGAATATGAATAAAATTTCCTGGTATCATACTGCTAGAGTATTTAGCTCCATGAAAATCTCTTTTTTTTGTTTATCTTTTTTTGTTTGTTTACCATGTATTTTTTGTTTACCATATTTTTTTGTTTACCATGAATAAAATTTCCTGGTATCATACTGCTAGAGTATTTAGCTCCATGAAAATCTCTTTTTTTGTTGTTTGCCATATATATCTCTTTACTTTTGTTTCATTTTGGTGCCTATTTTTAAAATTTTGCTATTTTTTCTCAGATACCAGATTCCTAACTTGACCTATGATGTTCTCATAAGATCATATGATGATCTGTCCCCAGTTTTACCTTGTCGGCCTTATCTCTCATATTTACCTTTCTTGTGAGCTGTAGCCACACAGCCTTATTTTTGTTCCTTGGCCTTCAGATGTGCTTCATTCTCTTAGCATTATACTTTGACCTCATGAGTTTTTAAAAGGAGAGAGTTCTCTGATTTCAAAGAGGAGATTAGATCCTCCTCGTTAATAATATCACAACCCCTGTGCTTACCCTCTTTGATACTCAGTCACATCTTATTTGAAAATTAGGTTGTAGAGTTAATATATAAGGCAGAAATCATGTTATGTTCTAAATTATCCTTAAAATATCATAAATCGCCTTCACAGTGTTTGATTTTTGTGTGTGCATTCTTGTCGGTAATAGGTAAGGTAAATGTAATTGCAGTAACATACAATATTTACTAAGGTTTATATGTAAAATATAATTGAAGCATTTTAGATCAGAAAATTAAAATGTGCATGTAATTGATTTTGAATACATTAATTATGTATGTGATACAGCTCCACCGTATGTATTTGTGATTATTTGTTTGCAAATAATCAAATACTCTAAACTATAAACACCATGAGCCTAGAGAGTGTCCTTGCTTTGCTTATTATTAATTTACTGATAATTATCACAGTACCTGATACATAGTAGACTCTCAAATATTGGTTAAGTGATTATGAAGAGTAAATTTTGCTAAAAGGAAAAAGGTGTGCAATTTCCTATTTCACTCTCTAGGTATTATTTTTTAATGTAAAGAGTAATAATACTGGATTTGGGGTGTATGTTTGAATAAAAATTAATGGCTACTTTTCTTCTTTTTCATCTTCTAGGAGGGTATACAAGGAAAGGTTAGGACTTCCTCCAAAGATAGTGATTGGTTATCAGTCCCATGCAGACACAGCTACTAAGAGCGGCTCCACCACTAAAAATAGGTTTGTTGTTTAAGAAGACACCTTCTGAGTATTCTCATAGGAGACTGCGTCAAGCAATCGAGATTTGGGAGCTGAACCAAAGCCTCTTCAAAAGCAGAGTGGACTGCATTTAAATTTGATTTCCATCTAAATGTTGCTAAGATATAAGAGAAGTCTCATTCGCCTTTGTCTTGTACTTCTGTGTTCATATATTTTTTTTTTTTAATTTTGGCTAGAGTGTCCACTATCCCAATCAAAGAATTACAGTACACATCGTCCCCAGAATCCATAAATGTGTTCCTGGCCCACTCTGTAATAGCTTAAAAGAATTAACGATTACAAACACATTTGACCCATCTACAATATTAAAGAAAAGAATTTGCATTTCTATACCTTACAAGAGAACGATTCTGTTTATGTTCCATTGTATGCAGGAGCATATTTTGCTGGTTTGAAAGAGTATGATGCATACAGTTTTCTAACAATTTTCTTTGTTTCTTTTTTACAGCATTGTCTGTGCTGTACTCTTGCTGATGGCTGCTAGATTTTAATTTATTTGTTTCCCTACTTGATAACATTAGTGATTCTGATTTCAGTTTTTCATTTGTTTTGCTTTTGTTTTTTTCCTCATGTAACATTGGTGAAGGATCCAGGAATATGACACAAAGGTGGAATAAACATTAATTTTGTGCATTCTTTGGTAATTTTTTTGTTTTTTTGTAACTACAAAGCTTTGCTACAAATTTATGCATTTCATTCAAATCAGTGATCTATGTTTGTGTGATTTCCTAAACATAATTGTGGATTATAAAAAATGTAACATCATAATTACATTCCTAATTAGAATTAGTATGTCTGTTTTTGTATCTTTATGCTGTATTTTAACACTTTGTTATACTTAGGTTATTTTGCTTTGGTTAAAAAATGGCTCAAGTAGAAAAGCGGTCCCATTCATATTAAGACAGTGTACAAAACTGTAAATAAAATGTGTACAGTGAATTGTCTTTTAGACAACTAGATTTGTCCTTCCTTTTATTTCTCCATCTCTGTAGAAGGAATTTGTACTTCTTATTGCAAGGCAGTCTCTATGGTGTCTTCTCTTGTAGTGTCTTCCATGTGAATAGCGTAAGTTTGGAGCATTAGTTTGATTATTACGTTTATTTTAATTTATAATAAATTGAATAGGTAGCATCATATATGGAATTAAATTGATGTGGCTATCTTTTTTTTTTTTTAATAAAGTAAGAGGCACAGTCCTTCAGTCTTAGGTAAATAATGTGCTCTTAATATGTTAAAACTCATGAGAATTGCGACCTTGGTGCATCACCATTTGATTGGTAGGAATAACAGTTGTAAAACTTGGTTGCTGAATTGAGACGTTATTTTTCAAGTGTCCAAATGACACCACAGGGAAAGAGTTACAGGTGGTGGGGGGCGTATGCATTAAGAATTTTGTTAGTGTTGCTGTCTAAATAGAATTAGAATAAACAGGTTATGAATGCTTGTATTTATAATGATGAATTGGTGTAGTATAGATTTATGTAAACTTGAAAACTTGATCTACTCTTTATAGGCATCATTTGAAAGCAAATTTGAAAACAGTTTGTTTATAATTATTGTATATTTCAGATCCCGTAAAATGAAATAAGGCTATAATTATAGACAAAAGGGTAAGTTGAACTGTAGGTAGAATGAGAACCATTAATTGAGAGGAAATTTCATCTTTAGATGGTGATTATGAATTAATCATTTTAAAGCTGCTAAGTTTGACAAAAATCCTATATAAAATAAACATGAAATTAATAGTATTGATTTTATTGAGGAATTTAAAACAGCTTAAAGTGTACCACAAGCTACCATCTGAGTACTCGCAATACCACAAACACCCTTTGTTCAGTATTCTAGAAATAACTGAGTCTTTTGTGTTTATAATCTGAATATACTGTACCTAGTAATATCTGTTGTTTAAGGTTGGGTGATTGTTTAAGGTGATTTATTGTCTTTGTTGATATACGTAGTTGTGAGCACTTCAAGAGTTTGCTTAAAAGTGACCGTGGAGGTGGTAGTGTGTGGGCAATGGGTGGCATTGGAGGAATATATCTATTAGAAATTAATGCTTAATTTCCTTAATTCTAGGATGCAGTCCATTTTAAGAAGTACCAGCTTTGGCGGGTAGAGGAGGAATAGTGCATTAAATGTACACAGTTCTAAATTTTTAAAAATCCTAATTTATAGCATTTGATTGTTCTCATTATTACCATCTGAGAGTCACATTCGGTTTTAAGTCTTTTTCCCAGTATGGGTGGGGAGGAATGATTCTGAGTCACTTTTGGCAAATGCCACTTAAGTACCACAATGACTTGCAAATTTCCTAACTTTATTAGTGTCTTTTCTAAATATAAGATTAGATTGTACATGATTTTCTAAGTTACTTTTCCCTCTCTAACAGGATATTATAAATAAATATATTTTCATAGTAGATTATTAAAATCATCTTTAATGGGTAAATAGTAGTTCATTGTAGGGATGTGCCATATTTCATTTAACCAATTTTGTTAATAATTCCAGTTCTACAGAAGGATTTGAGGCATACTATGTAAGAATCAAAAAGTTAAAATCCTTACTTAGTACTTACGTGCCAGGCAGTGTTCTAAGCACTTCACACGCACTTTAACCTGCACAATAATCCTTTGATGTAGGTGCTGTTATCCCCCTTTTACAGATGATGAAACAAGCAGTGAGGATTTAAGTCGCTCAGTATGGATTTTGAATCCTGGAAATTTGGTTTTGGAGATCCTGTAAAGCACATTATACAGTCTCAGTGATATAGAGCCTCTACCTGATGGGCTATAGTAAATTGCAGCGGATTGTAGTAAGTTTATAGGTCAGGACATTTTAAATTTTACTTCCTTTGGTAATGAAATGTATAATAGATGGAGTGTCCCCCGAGGCCACTCTGTTCGCAGTCAGCTAAACTAATCATTTGGGGTTTTTTGAGAACATGGAGACAAAGGTACAGGAGTTTAGAGGTGCATAGATTAAGTGAATATTTTCGTATACAGTTTTAAGTGTCTATATCCTGTATCTTCTAAGCTAAATGGCAAAATAAAGCAAAGTTTTCAAGTTGAGCTGAGATTCTTAAATGCTGAAGTTTGCATTCAAAAGTACAATTTTAATTTACTAAGGCAGTGTGATAATGTGATGTTTTACATTTTAAAATTAAAACAAGTTAATGACAAGTCTCTGTGCTACTTTTTATCTCTTAATTGTTATGGATTGTCTTCATTATTGATTAGAGGAAAAAAAGAGCTGAATTTTCTCACTCAGAGTTAGACCTTATGGGCAAATGCAAAATTTCAGGTCAGATTGACATTAAAAAACAAAACCCTAGGTCAGTGCTATCTGGTGTCTCTCTGGACTAGTATAGAAATTAAAGAATGTCTAGAAACTTCTACGGAAATTTGATATTGCTGTGACATTAAAGTATGTGGTCATTTCTCTACTAACGGATTTTTAAAAATATATTTGTGACAAGAGTGCAGTTTGGGATTTAAAAGTGGTCCTGATCACATATAATTTGAGAGACACTACTCTTAGGTTTTCCTCAGTAGCCAAGACCAGGTCATTTGCCCATCATTCTCTGAAAACATCCAGCTTACTGTCTCTTCACTCCTCATCTCACAACTAATGGACTTGGTGTCAAAGTTTCAGCCCTAGTCTGTAGTGTCTTTCAATAATACTTTCTGGTATCTTGCTTATTGTGAATTTCAAAGTAGAAATTCCTAATACCTTGGATAGTTTTAGACTTCAATAGTCTTGTGATTATTTCTTTCACTGCTAGAAACAAAAGAAAAATGAAATTGTGGGCATGAGATCACACGTGCTATGTCTTTCCCAATTCAGAGGAACCAGTTTCCACATTTTAATCTTGCCCCCTTTTCTTTTACTTCAGAACTTACAAATTCCTCATAGTTTTGCACAGAAGTTATATACCTACGTTTCCTCCAAAAAATACATATTGAGTACCTCCGTTTACTGTGCTCTAGGTGCTGGAAAATATAGCAGAAAACAAAAGACTGGTCCCTGCTCTAAAATTTTAAAAGCAGACATCTATTCAGAATAAATAAATCTTTCCACAGGGTTCTGCAAATAGTTTATGTTATTGAAATAGAAACTCCTAGGGTTTCTGTTACTGGGGATTAGTAGTCTAGAGGTAAATATAAAATGAAGTTGTTTGCTCTGAACACCCTTCCAGCTCTAACATTGAGTCTAAACAGATCACACTATATAGGAGGACTCGACCAAACCCTCACATGTAAATTACAGCTTTTGCAAGACTTAATTTCTACTTTATATTACTGAAACCTGTGTGATTGTCCAAGTAAAGTTTTGTGGGTGTGGCTCTCTTTTGGTTATGAGATTGTACTTAACATACTTTTTAATTTGTTGAAGCATTTTAAATGATTGTGTCTGTATTGGTGTGGTTTTATACATAGCAGTTCTCCCTTTATTCACCTTCTAAAATACTGATTTTTTTTTCTTTAATGTTTGACATAAAACACAAACATAACACATGCCTGTTTTGTTTTGACTGTAGAAGGGTAGAAGGTGACAATTTCCTGCCTCCTTCAATCCTACTCTTCTTTTTCAAGGTACCACTCAAATTTCTTGTATATGTCTGAATTTTCTGTGCATATACCAGATGTATGTGTGGGCACGTGTGTAACTTTTTTCTTTGGACACAAATCATTTTATTGAGAATATCAATAGCATTGTTTTCTCATTCAATAGTCTTGGACAGTTTTACACATCATAACGCATATAAGACATTTTTAATTGCCTAGTGAGTGATCCATTATATGAATGTATGCCTTATTGGAGGACTGTCTTCCTTCTTTCCTTGTAATTTTTGCCTTTACAGTCTCCCAATGTAAGTTATAGTCTTTATCTTTGTATAGTGTAGTTTTTTGATATGTGTAAATTTGTTTTTCTTTAGCAGTACTGTATGGCCCTATTCTCTACCCATTCCACACCCAGACCGTTCTAATCCACATGCAAGGATCATCATCAATTTTGTAATTGTGTTCTACAGAATGCTGCTTTGCAAGTTTTGCAGTTTTGGTCCTCATGATATTTTTCTGATTGACTTTTAATTGTTTTATTTTCTTCTAGTGAGCCAACATTGTTTTAAAATACAAATAAAATAGTTTATTTGCTAGATAGTACTTCTTCCAGAAAACAAGCATTAAGCTAGCAATTCTATTTTAGACCTGTAAATATTAAAAAAGCTTGAATCAGGTAACACTGATATAGGACCTAGTTTTGTTTTCAAGCCTTGTAATGAATTTAACTTCACAATTTTTGAACTGAGAGCATTTCCCAAACACATATTTATATTGTCATAACAAGTTTCTTTTGACATTTGTTTTTAAGCGTTTTTTGTTTGGGGCTTTTTTTTTGTTTAGTTTTGTCTTCAACCTTTAACTCAATTTTGGGTAAGTGGTTTGTGCATGATGCTTGACATTTTGTTTCTGGTGTAAGATAATTTATAAGGTATGTGAGGCATAAGATTTTGCCCCAACTTGACCCTGCTTTGCATTGTCTTGTTACGTCAAAGTGTTAATTAGGTGTATTCCGTATACATTTGGGGCTTTTTCTGTGTTCTAGCAGTGCCTTCTAGATAATAACCGTAGTTAAATATTGCAGCGTTCTGTGCTTCTCCAAGCATATGGGATTTGTATTGAGCCAGAATGATATTTAAGGGAATCGTAAGTTCCTATTTCATGCAACGTTTCTCCTTTCATTAATTATTAATCATTTACCATCAATTATTTACCTCCTCTTCATGTTTTTTTTAAGTGTTGCTATTTTATAAGGGTTCTATCTTTAAATGTTCATATCTTCCATCTCTGCTATTCTTAGGTTATCCATACTGTCAGTGGCTTTCAAATCTCTGTCCTTATCCATGACCACCTTCTTGTGCTTCAGATCATGCTTCTTCCTGCCTATTGGACTTCTCTGTCAGGGGTCAGCAAACTATAGCTCATAGGTCATATTTGGCCTGCATTCTGTTTTGTAAATAAAGTTTTATTAAAACATGGACTTACATGTTCGTTCACATGTCTGTGATGTTTGTGTGTGTGTGTCCTATAATGGCAGAGTTGACTAGTTGTGACTGAGACAGCCCTGCAAAGTGTAAGATGCTTATTACTCTGGGCCTTTGTAGTACGAAGTTTGCTGATCCTTACTCTAAATGTTTTGTAGTGACAGTGTCAGCAAAACCAAATGTTTTTAGTGACAGTGTCAACAAAGCCAAATGTCTTATCCTATTTTCTTTTCCTTTTCACTTCCAGCAAGCCCCTAACCCCATTCCTACCTGATGGCTTTACCATTAATCCAGTCAACAGAGTGTGATTTACATCATTATTTTCTTCTCTCCCCTCTACTTAGACAATGTCCTTGAGTCCACTGCAGTTTCTCCTGATTGTCCCTGGTACTATCTGGGTTCTTAGGCTAAAAGACATCCCAGCTGACCTCCCTACTTTTTTGCCCATATCCTCAAATGCTCATTGTTTGTCTGCATGTTAAGATTTCTTTTACTATTTAGAAAGCAGCCAAGGTAATCAAGTTTTATAACTGGGAAATACTGGAGCTTGTGTACTTATTCTCAGAGTGATAGTTGGTGTTTTTAACTACAAAAATGATTGCATGGTGGTTTATAAATCATCAAGCAAAGCTTGTACTCTACAGGACTGTCTTAATATATTTTTTGTATTACCTAAAGCAGCATGTGGTATGCCTCTGTTTGTTTCTTGCTTTATTATAGGAAGTAAAAAAAAAGGGGGGGCGGATGTGAGAAAAGATTAAGCCAGAAGTGAAGTTAGCATGCAAAATCCATTCCATAAAGCCCATTCTAGTAACCAAATAAAATGGAGAAGCAAGTTATTCAAAGATGCTAATGTCATGCTTGGGCGACTGCCATTTGTGGGACACAATTTTTGTTTTAAGTATACAGCTGGCTATGTCAAAGGAAGATGGGATTCAGTACATACTCCACAGTAAAATTAAAGAATAAATAGCAACCTGCTCCAGAAAAGCACACACATGCTTTGGTGTCAGAGAGCTTCAGTTCAAATTCTAGTTCTGCCATCTATTCAATGTATGAACATAGTCAAGTTAGTTGAGCTCTCTAAGCCAGTTTTCTCATCTGTGAAACAATGAGTGATACCTATATCAGAGGGCAATGGTGAGACTTAAACGACATCATTTGTATAAAGTATAGTGCAGTACCAGGTGCAGAGCAAATGTGTAATGAATTTTAGCCTTCTTCCATGGGTCTTCTTAAAAAAAACCCTGTAGTGTATGTAATGCAGTGGTTGACATTCTATAGTAATTCTAGCTTTTATGGGATTGGGTTTTTTTTTTTTTTAACATCTTTATTGGAGTATAATTGCTTTAAAATGGTGTTAGTTTCTGCTGTATAACAAAGTGAATCAGCTATACATATACATATATCCCCATATCTCCTCCCTCTTGCGTCTCTCTCCCACCCTCCCTATCCCACCCCTTTAGGTGGTCGCAAAGCACCCAGCTGATCTCCCTGTGCTATGCAGCCGCTTCCCACTAGCTATCTGTTTTACATTTGGTAGTGTATATATGTCGATGCCACTCTCTCACTTCTTCCCAGCTTACCCTTCCCCCTCTCCGTGTCCTCAAGTCCATTCTCTAGGTATGTATCTTTATTCCTGCCCTGCCCCTAGGTTCTTCGTAACCTTTTTTGTTTTTTAGATTCCATATATGTGTTAGCATACGGTATTCATTTCTTTATGGCTGAGTAATATTCCATTGTATATATGTGCCACATCTTCTTTATCCATTCATCTGTTGATGGATACTTCGGTTGCTTCCACGTCCTGGCTATTGTAAATAGAGCTGTAGTGAACATTGTGGTACATGACTCTTTTTGAATTATGGTTTTCTCAGGGTATATGCCCAGTAGTGGGATTGCTGGTTCATATGTAGTTCTATTTTTAGTTTTTTAAGGAACCTCCATACTGTTCTCCACAGTGGCTGTATCAATTCACATTCCCACCAACAGTGCAAGAGGGTTCCCTTTTCTCCACACCCTCTCCAGCATTTATTGTTTCTAGATTTTTTGATGATGGCCATTCTGACTGGTGTGGGATGATACCTCATTGCAGTTTTGATTTGCATTTCTCTAATGATTAATGATGTTGAG